GGGTCTCTTCATCAGTACGCACCCACCGAACTGAGGTTCGAACCCACGACCTTCTGGTTACAAGGTGAGCTCGTAGACCAGTGACTTAATGGTCTGTAATACCAGCTTACATTTGACAAGTGCAGATCGCGTGCCAAAGATACTAAGATTTCTGATCTGGGTGTGTAGAAAGAAAACTGAGTTTACTAACTTGATCATCGTTCGTCTGTCTGGGGACATTTTTTAGTTGTCAAGTTGGTCAATTGGTAAAGATAACAAAATCAAGTCTGGATTGTTGGATTTGATCGGTGTGTAAAATTATAAAAGTAGTGTGTGTTTACATAGTGAACTTGCTTATCACATTCGTGTTGATTTTGTCGCTTCATGGGGGAGGGGAGGGAGGTGTTGTAACCAGGTCAGATTCTGTTTTAGTCCATCATTCCTATTCAGGCAATTTTGATTCCACTTGATATGAAGTGCTTCTGACGGTATTAGACGTTCTTTGTGATTTCTGAAGTGCTTTTTCTGGATTATTTCAATATTGTCGATATACATCGGACAAACATCTCGAGAAATCAAAATCAGAAGAAATGAACACCGTAGAGCATCTCTTCGACCACCGAGAAATCCTGTTGAACTACAAAAACTTGAAAAATCATCAGCCATAGGTCTACATGCTATAGAATCAGGCCACAAAATTGATTTTGACAATATTGAAATAATCCAGATGTCTGAATGAATATTTTTGCAATATTGAAACTAAAAAATGTCACCAGACAGACGAACGATGATCAAGTTAGTAAACTTTATTTTGATATCATAACAGACATACTATTACCTTTGTTATTTGGTTTAGTTATCTTCATTGGCATTTTTACTTTCAATATGTCCCTTTAACTTGATCTATGTCTCTTTTCCCACCCCCTAACTGTTTGTTGTATATATGCTGAGATTTTGTAAATTCCGGTTTAATAATACTTTGATAAAGCTATTAGCAGGATTAAATAGCGAAACGTCAGTAAAAACAATATCGTTTTGTTTTTCATTCATTGGGAAATACAAAAATCTTTATTATAATGCCATAACATTCTGATTAATAATGAGGCTGGGTGTAGAGTGTTAGGAGAGGAGGGAAAGCCAATCGATGAGCTTGTGGAAGTTACATCGATTGATATGGCTAGGAAATCTGTTGCTCATGCGTAGTCATCGCATACTACGACGACCAATTTTAGCTGACTTAGGATTCTGCTGAAGAAGCTGTGGCTTACACAGCGAAACGTTCAGAAAAATCTTGTTTTGATTTTCTTAACACGCTGGGATTAATCTAAATAATTTATAATGACTTAGGATTAGGTTGGAAAATAGTTAGTGATGGTCACATCAAAACCTGGAATGAGCCGATGAAGTCTCTGACAGTCAGTTTTAGACATATAGAGCGGTGGTGTAGACTACGTGGTTGGGATTCTCAGGATTTTAAGAATCAGTGACTTGGTGCTATCGGCAATGTGGCTCAAAGTCGTTGTCAATGGAGCAGATGCATCCACTCTTTGAGGTCTCTTATATCCACCAAACCGTCATGTTTTTCTATGTTACTATTCTCTCCTCGTCACATTTCTGCTCATTAATGTTCTTTTGAGTCGCTTTTCCCTCTCTCTCTCTCTCTTTCTCGGTCATTTGTCTACCTTTGTGTTCTACATGAAGTGTGGCAACTTGAAGTGGTACACTTTTGTTCAAAGTTCTATTGAGCCCGAATCACCGGTCGGTCGGTCGGTTTTCGACATAGAACTTTGCACATATGTGCGGCAGTTCAAGTCGCCACACTCCCTCCTTGTAGCACACAAAGCAAGAGAAGAAAGTAGAAGAAATGCATAATATAGACAGTAAACAGAGGTGAAAGACAAAGGAATAGTAATAACGAAGAACAGAACAGTTTAATTGGAGATCATAAGTCACAAGGAGTGGATGCATCTGCGCCACTGAGAACGATCACTTTGAGCCATGTCACCAATTGTTTCCAACTATTGGTTTTTACTGTCCCGAGGACCCCAACCAGGAAGTCTACATCTTCCTACGTGGCTTAGATTAACTGTTGTGGATTTCATTGATTGGTGCCATGTTTTGGTTTGACCGCCGCTAGCTCTTTTCCAACCTGACCCTATATCAGCTAACATTGCCCGTCGAGGAAGGCGATGACTAGGCATACGTAGCACATGTCCTAACCATCTCAGTCGAAGTAATTTTACAGTCTCGTCGACTGATTTCCCCTCCTTACCAACTAGCACTTGACCGATGCCTAACCTCAATATTCCTCACCTTCTCATACCACTTCACATGGGACATAGAACGCTGGCACCTATGACCAGAGACAGCTAGACGGTTCTTTCATGTCTTCCACTCTCAATGGACACACCTCACTCGCAGCCATAAAGGAGGGCGGAGCGGACTGTTGAGCAGTACGCACGCCCTTTGGTCGATAGTCGGATATCGTGTCTACGCCAGAGACGGCGAAAACTGGCGAATGCGAACCTAGCCCTCTGTATTCGTGCTGAAATTTCGTCGGAGATCAACCCGTTGGGGCTGATGGTACTTCCCAAGTAATTGAAGCGGTCAACGTGTTCTACCACTTCCCTTCCTATTTCTAATCTAGGGGTCGATGAAGTCCAATCCTGCAGCATCATCTTACATTTTATAGGGGCGAATCGCATGCCAAACATGTGGAGATTGTTGCTCAGGGTGTTCAGTAGACTCTGCATTTTGTCAGAGTCCTCGCCTAGAAGGACTATATCGTCCGCATATTCTAAGTCAACGAAATTATTCCCTGGTAGCAAGTCAATCCCTGAGTCGCTGAAGTGAGTTAGGGTTAAGTCCATTAGTACATCTATGATGAAGTTGAATAGGAATAGGGATAATGGGCATCCTTGACGGACGCCACTAGTCGTCACCACTTCAGATGACAACTCGCCATAAGCCCACACCTGGCTGCATGAGTACGAGTAGAGTGCCTTAATCAGTGCAATGTATTTTCTCGGCATTCCCTTTACAGCCAAGCATCGCCAGAGAACCTCTCGGTCGACAGAATCGAATACCGCCTTTAGGTCAAGAAATATAATGATTGTCGGACGCCGGTAGGAATGCCTGTGTTCTAGAATCTGTCGAAGGGTGAAGATGTGATCAATACACCCTCTACCTGGCCTAAAACCTGCCTGGTTTTCTCGTGTTTGTGTCTCCCGAGCACCACTTAATCTACGCGGTATTATTGAGCCTAGGACATTAGATACTATATTAGTCAAGCTAATCCCTCTGTGATTATCACAAGACGACTTGTCCCCCTTCTTGTATATCGGGATGATCAGTGACTTACACCAACCCGATGGGACTTCCTCTGATTCCCAGACGCTGCCTAGAACCTCCGTTAACGCAGACAGTAAACTGTCGCCTCCGTACTTAAATACCTCTGGAGTCAATAAATCAGGTCCCGCTGCTTTGCCTAGCTTCAGATTGGTGACAGCTTTAGTAACCTCGGTTAAGGACGGAGGACCTGTGTCTATCTCCCATTCAGGGAGGTGTTGGATGTCCGGTAGGTTAAGTGTGGCTGTGGGCCAATTAAACTGCTCCTCATAGTGTTCTTTCCAGCGCTCCAGACGTCTATCCTGGGAGCTAATTATGGTGCCATTTTTCTCGGAGATTGTTTCGCTTATCATTTGTTTTTTACCACCTGTTTCCCTGATAAGCCTGAATAGTTGTCTGGTGTTGCCTATCGCCGATGCTTTTTCCATCTCTTTCGCCTTTGTCAACCACCACTGTTCACGGTCCTTGCGGAGACTTTTCGTAAGTTTCCTTTTGTGCAGCTTTCGCTCCTCATTGAATTCGGAGCTCGCCGGAATAAGTCTTCTAGCATCTATCAGTTCGGATGAGGCAGTCGAAATCCAATGGTTTTTACTCACCTTTGGAATTACCTTATTCACAGCCCGAATCACCCCTGTGGTTGGCGAGGTCTATACCACTGAATCACTGACTCACGTGTGCACTGACAAAAATTATTAAGCTAGAATGAAACAGCTCTCCTGTTCACTCTGGTTTTCTTCAATAACTATCTTAAGTGATGATGTACCGCAACAACAGACAACAATCAGCCAGCATAAATGGGAGAAATCTGAAGGAAGCAATCTCCTTTACCTACCTACCTACCTGGGAAGCATCGTTTCAACTACAGGCTCACGGAACTGATGAGGGTATCACAGTAGTGAAGATCGGGAAAGCAAGGTAAGCTTCCATTGCTCTCAAGTCTGTGTGGAGGAGATCAACAGCACTCAGCATGAAAAACAAGATCCGGATTTTCAACTATAATGTGAATTCAATACTACTATACGGATCAGAGACTTGGCACCACGCGGCGTCACGAAGGGCACTTCGAACAAACTAAACACCTTCATCAGCAACTGTCTCCGCTCAATACTTCGCTCAAGATCAGATGGCCGGCCAGAAAAAAATCAGCAACAGGGATTTCTGGGAGCGGACCAACCCAGCAAGAATCAATTGTGCAACAAATATGCAGGAAGAAGTAGAGGTGGATTGGCCATACTCTGAAAAGACCACCAAGTGAGTGACACCACACGCCAGGCCATCGTTCGAGTGGAACCCGAACGGGAAGCGGCGAGTTGGTCGTCAGTATGAGGGTGGGGTGACTTGGAGGAGATGATGTGAAGAGGAGATGAAAGCATGTGGGCAGACATGGAGCCAGGCGGTGAAAACGTCGGCAGAGAAACGGACGCAATGAAGACGTCCGGCTGAAGCCCTATGTTCCTCTAGGAATTAAAGGTGGTTGAATAGAACTCAAATGTAAAGCGATGAGTTGGGTATGGGTCCTACGCTCGAATAGACGAGATCCTATGAAAAGGGATGGAAATATTGTGGAGAATAGATTGAAATAGAGATGTGCTGTTGGAACTTTAGTTGTAAATATATATATGGTGTGTACTTAATGGTCACTTTTTTAAAATTTGTTTCTCTATCTATTCTAGGTGATGGTTCATTAACTTATCTACGTGAATGGATGTGGTGGATGGGTTTTATCCTAATGGGAATTGGAGAATTTGCTAATTTTGTTGCTTATGCATTTGCTCCAGCTATTCTTGTCACACCATTGGGTGCTCTGTCTGTACTTGTCAGTACACTGTTAAGTGTACGTTATTTAAATGAACATTTAAATTGTATCAGTGGAATTGGTTGTTGTATTTGCCTGTTGGGATCAACATTAGTTGTTCTACATGCACCTAAAGAACAAAATTTAACATCATTACAAGAAATGTTGACAAGAGCTACATATCCATGTAAGTTGGTGCATATATTCATATTTTTTGATGGTATAAATTTTTACTATTTATGATGTGCTTGTGTGTCGGTGGTACATCGGTAGAATGTTCGCGAATCACGCCTCATGTAGTCTGGAGTTTGATCGCTGGCCACCGACTCACTCCTTTACCTTGCTAAACCAATAATAAGACTGGTAAAGATGGAAGGTTGGGTATGAGGCTGGCTAGCAACTCCATCCGGTAAAAAATAAACACCACTGCTATCTGAACTTCAAGCCTCTAGCTTGAAGCTGTCCTGTGTTCCACTGGGAATGTAAAGGAATAAAAAAAGTGATCTGCTTACTTGACGCCAGGTGGTTCATGGTAGTCAAGAAAGCTTTAACGAGTTAGGTAGGAAGGAGGTCTTCGAATGTTTGGAATACGATTCACCTGCTCTTTTCAAATGTAAGTTGATGATGATGATGATGCGACAGGACTGGTCTGCACCGACTCCTAGTTTAAAGATAGACAGGGGTAGAGTGGTTGGTGGAGCGTGATGACCACTTCGCTTATCTGGGAGGTTGTATCAGATCTAGTAGACTGATTTCCGACGGAATCTCAGCATGGATATAAAAGTATCATGTGATATTTACCAGATTGCGTGATCTCTGGCTGGCTATCGATCAAAAGAAGTGTGTACTGCTCAGCAGTTCACTCCGTCCTTCTTTATGACTGGCTAGCTGTGAGACACGACCACTGATTGTAGAACACATGAAAAGCCGGGCTAGCTGTCTCTTTGATCCTAGATGTCTGCGTTCTATCTCCTGTATTGAATGGTGTAATAGGGTGAGTAATATTGAGGTTAGGCCTCAGTGGAGTGTTAGGTAAGGAGGGGAAAGTCAAGGCTCACCAGTGCATCTCCGTGGGTCGACACTTACAATGAACCTTAATCAAGGTGTGAACTTTTATCAGGAGGAAAGCCTCTATTTAGTAGCCTTCGTGGCCTAGTGGATAATGATAATGTACATTGGTGATTCAATCGTAGAGTTTCCTCTAACCATTCACATGTTCCGGGGTTCGATTCCACACTGATACATTCCTAGACCTTGCCAAAGTTAATAAGTTGATAGTAAGCCCCAGTAAAGAGGCGGGGTTGGACGTGGGAATGGCTACTCCATGACGTAAAAAAAACACGACTACTGAAACTCCAAGCCGGAAGTTCTTTGTTCCATTAGGAGTTGCCGTAGCCATTGAATTGATTGTCCTGTAGAAGGTCACTAACCCCATATCTAAACTTCCCTCTTGTTCCGGGTTTAGGACCCGGCTATTATTATTATTATTACTATTATTATAATACCCTCGGGTTCCGAGTGGATCATAGGGCTGGCTTCAACAACACATCTCCACTTTGTTCTATTTGGTGCTGTCCTCTTCATCTGGGTCCACGTTTGCCCATAATCTTTCATCTCCCCGCCTAGTTTGCTAACTCGCTAGTTTTCTAGCCAGTTTCAAGCCCGAGTAAAGAGGGAGGGTTGGGCGTGGGGTGAGCGACCCCAGACCACAAAGCCAATCAAACTGCTACGGAAGCTTCAACGCACAAGAAACAGGGCTGGCTAGTAAACTTCTTCCACTTAGTTGGGAAGCATCGTTTCCTCAACTGCAGGTGGACCTGATAAAGATGTCAAAGCCAGTCAGGACTGGAAAACACAACACAGACATTTATTACTTTAAAATCAGTGTTAAAGTCTACTGCACAACACATTAAGGAGCAAAATTCATATTTTCAACATTAATGCCAAATTACTGCTTCTATATATGAGTCAGAGACTTGATGCGTACACCACAGGGATTATTTCCAAATGGGTGTAGACCTTCATCAACTGCTGAGTTCGCTCGGTAGTGAAAATCAGATGACTGGCAAGAATGGATAAGTAGAAAGGAATCCCGGCTGGCAATGAACTAACGAACAACCCATTGAACTATAAATATGCAGGAGAAACTGGAGATAGAGCTGGGTTATCGTCTGAGAAGAACTTTGATTGACATCACATGCCCAATCAAACTAATGGTTGGAAACATGGCTCAAAATCGTTCTCAATGACGCAGATGCATCCACTCCTTGTGACTTATGATTTCCAATTAAACTGTTTCGTTCTTCGTTATTACTATACTTTTGTCTCTCACCTCTGTTTACTGTCTCTAATATGCATTTCTTCTCTTGCTTTGTGTGCTACAAGGAGGGAGTGTGGCGACTTGAACTGGCGCACATATGTGCAAAGTTCCATGTCGAAAACAGACAGACAATCAGAGTGTTCAGTTTAACCCGAGTGGGAAATGTTAAGTTTGTTGCGGATCTGTGGGTGACATGGAGGAGACTGTGTGGGGAGGAGATGAGAGCCAGATGAAGTGGACTGAAGAGAACAGCTTGGAGTGTAAATGTTCTGTTGAAGCCCTATGTTCCACTTGGAACACGTATTTATATATATGTATAGTGGTTTCAACAGCTATATGACAATGCCGCCACCTGTCAGGTGATCCACAACGGAAAACTCAGTGAGGCATTCAAAGTGAATACAGGAGAAAGACAAGACTGTCTGCCTATTATCACCAACGCTGGTATCCTTAATTGTGGTGGACTGGATTATGCGTCAGACTGTGCGATAAAAAGACTCTAGAAGATCTGCAATTCGTGTGTGGATGGTTTATGTTTAGTGTCACACAAACTCAAAGACTTACAGGCGAAAATTAGCTAAATGGCAGAAGAAGCTGGCGGACAGCGAACACAGGGATCCAGGTGAACATAGGGAAGACGGAGGTGATGAAGATAACCAACCAACCAACCAACAGAAACAACAAAAACAGCAGCAATCAACATCAACGGGAGAGATTTGACAGAGGTTACTTCCTTTACTTATCTAGGAAGTATCGTTTCAACCAGAGGTGGAACGGAGGAGGATGTCAAAGCTAGCCGGAATCGGGAAAGCAAGGTACATCTTCAATCATTCTGAAATCGGTTTGGAAATCTTCCACATTCCGTAGTATAAAGAACAAGATTCTTTTTTTCAACATCGATGTTAAATCAGTCAGTCTATCACTTCTTGTATAAGGATCAGAAACTTGCACTGCACACACGCTACGAAGATCATTCCCAACAGGCTATGTCAGACGGACTTTTATCACTAGCTGCCTCCTTCACTGATTCCGCACTGAAGACCAAATGGCCAGCCGACTAGAAAGAATTAGCAACACGAAACTCTGTCTAGGAACAAACTAATCAAGAGCCTATCGTTCAACAAATATGTAGGATAAAATGGAGATGGATCAAGCATACGTTGAGGAGGCTGTCGAATGACATAGCGCTCAGTGTAGGCCATCTCTCCAGTGAAATCTGAATGCGAGGCGACGAGTGGGTCGTCTATGAGAGGGTGACATGCAGGAGATTGCTTGGTGAGGAGGAGGAGATGACGGATTATGGTCAATCGTGGACCCAGCTGAAGAGGACAGCGTTGATGAATAGAAGAAAGTGAAGATTTGTTGTTGAAGCCGTATGTTCCACTTGGAACCCAAGGGAATAATAATATAATAATCTGCATAGAGTTATTTTACTTGGTAGATGGTGACTAGCAGTGTAGAATCCAGGATGCGCATTTCGTCGTATTTAGGACTCGTCAACTGAGTGTACTTGCATCTTTAGTGAGTCCATAATGTATTTTGCACTGAGTTACTCGAATCCTGCGCCTATCTCACTTCAAACGCCAATTCACTAGTTATTTGGCACAACTGATAAACTGATATAAAAGAAACCTGTTTTGTCTGGTCAGACTGGTAACAATGAAAATGAATTGAATTGACGTTTAATCTATAATTAGTTTGAAATGTCTGGTTTATAGGTCACGTAGCAGGCAGTGACTCATAACATGTCACCTCTTGACCTTTATAACTTTTTAACCATAGTGATAATAATAGCAACAATCAAAACAAGATGTTATAATGATTGATAATGACTAGCAGTGGTATGCAGGATGCATGTTTCGTCCTCATCGAGACTCGTCACCCGGTGGGTTTAACAGTATCTTAGTAGTGAGTGATGATGTCCCCACTGAGATACTCGAACCTTTCAGACAACATTTCAAGTGCTAGTACGGATGAAGATGTCAAAGCTAACCAGAATTGCAGAAGCAAGGTACACCTTCATCAACCTAAAACCAGTTTGGAAATCTTTTGCACTGACTCGACAGAAACAACAAGATTCGGATTTTCAACACCGGTCTTAAATCAATCACTCAGTCACTTCTTCCATATGGGTCACACACTTGCACTGCGCACAGGTCACGAAGAGCATTTCCAATAGGCTATGTTAGACAAACCTTAATCAACATCTGCCTCCTTCGCTGACTCCATACTGAAGACTAAATAGCCGGCTGGTCAGAAAGAACTAGTAACAATAAACTCTGCAGTGGAACAAACCAACCAATAGCCTATTGCTCAACAAATATGTAAGAGAAAATGGAAGTGGATTGGGCACACAATACTGAGGAGACTGTCGAATGAAATCGCGCATAATGCAGGCCATCGCTCGAGTGGGGTCTGAATGGGGAAAGACGATTTTGGCATTATTTTGAGATTGACATAGAGGAGATCGTGTGGCGAGGAGAAGATGAGATATTATGGACAATCGTGGGCCCGGTTGAATAGGACAGCAGAAAATAGAACAAAGTGTAGATGTGTTTTTGAAGCTGTATGTTTCACTCGGAACCTAGGAGAACAGTAATAATAATAATAACTGCCGGTAGTCGTTGTAGCCACTGTAGTAGCAGAGTAACCCTTTCCTTCCTTATTGATTAGATCTCTTCCTTTCTTGCGTTTTGTCGATTATTCAATTAAATCCATGTACAGTATGGTAAATTACTTATAAACTCAGGCCTTCTTTATGTTTTCTTGATCGTTTTTGTTAGTTAAAAAAAATTTAACTGAGGTCAAACACGTTTCTTAAGTTCTCGATTAAATTGTTTTGATTTTTTTCGCATAAACTGTATGGATTTAGTTCTGTGCAGTGCTTCGATATCACACGTAGCTCACACTTAGCCTTTTTTTATTCATCATCCACAATGTTTAATCTTTTCATTATTATTATTATTTTTAATTATTTTTAATCCTTTACATTCTCAGTGGAATATAGGACTTCAAGTATCAGGCTTGAAGTTTTGACTGAACATTGAAGTTCATTTTTGACGAGATTAGGGTTTACTAATTTCACACCTAACCAACCTTTGCTGTTTACCGGCTAGGCGGAGGTTTTGAAGTACATTGTGCAGGGATCGAACTCCGAGACATGTAATGAAGCGTGACTGGAGAATATTCCACACACAATTTTACATCGTATTCGTCGATACAACGTGAAACATCTGACTGGTCGACTCACTTGGTTCCAACACACAGCTTTGTACAGAGGAGCAACTGTCGAAATTGCCATACTCCATATAGTGCACATTAAGGCAGAGAAAAAAAAAGAATTCGAATAGGCCCTTTCTATTACTTATTGTTATTATTGTCTCCCTTAGTTCCTAGAGGAGCATAGGGCTTCAGCCGCACGTCTCCATTGCGTGTTTGGTTCCTCGACAACGTTTTCACCTGGCTCCACATCTACCCACATGCTTTCATCTCATCTTCTCAAGATCTCCTGCATATCACCTTCACAGTGGTGACTAACTGGATGCTTCCCATTCTGGTTCCACTCGATCGATGACCTGGCGTGTGATGCCAGTTGATGGTTTGTTTTCTTAGAGTATGGCCAGTCCACCTCCATCCGAAGGCCTCGTTGACACCAATCTTGTGTTCTGTATCCACAAAATGAGATAGAATAGCGCTACGAATATGCTTTGTTTGTCCTTTACTTAACCAACCACTATGCAGGATGGTGTTTGTAAATCCGATGATAAACACGCCTAATTGTACGGCCCATGTAACTGGCTCACTCTACAGGAGCAGTCAAATTGATAGATGCAAATAGAAGAAATCAGGTAAGTTAATCTTTAAGTCGCGAACGTAAAATAAGTGTGGGTGGATGGTTTTGAAGACACAGCATAATTCAGCAACAGTGACTGCTCTTTTTACCGCTGTATTCCTTAGGCGGTATCCCACTGATGTTACCATAACTGAGGAACTGAAGTTGTAAGAGCGAGGCCTTCGTTTTTATCGGAACTGTAGGTACTCTGGCCTGCCTTCACTTTTGATTCATTCGATGAAGTTTTCTGGGTAACCCTTCTCACTCAGCAACTGTTTAGCAATACTAAGCTCTTCAAATTTTGATTGCTATGTACCGTTTCATTTGTTTTCTCTTCTTTCACCTTTTCTCCAGCTTTTATTGTCTACGGTGTATTTGTTATTATTTTATCTGCTATATTGATTTTTATTCTTGGTCCACGTTATGGTAAAACAAATCCAATTGTATTCACTCTGATCAGTGGAAGTATCGGTTCATTGTCAGTTATTGCTTGTAAAGGTGTTGGTGTTGGATTAAAGGTAAGTTACTGTTACTTCCTCCATTCATTTTGTTAAACCTTATTTTCTATACTTGGTTGGTTGGTTGGTTTGTATGGATTAGTTTTTTTGCTTTTTTTACGAGTTGATCACGGATTGATATCAGTTAGAGAGAACCATTGAAATCAGCCATAGGGAGGAGTACTGGACAGCTGTTTCGCCAGCCTAGTTCGAGAATCTTCGGTAGTACGCACCCACCTCACAGAGGGTTTGAACCCACGACCTTCCGGTTACAAGGCAATGTTAACCTCTTTTCTGAGTAGAATATAGCACATCAGGATGGTATACCTCCAGTGTTGTATCGAGTCTCTCTCAACAAGAACCTTAAGTTCTGATGAAATAAAAGTACTTGAAAAGGGATTAAACTCCAAATGTAGCTATTAACAAATTAAAACTTGAAGACGTCATTCCGAGTGTAGAATAGCCAAAATTACTGCGGAACAAGTCAGAGCACAATGTGCTGCCTTGACACTAAAAAATGGGAAGAAAGGAAAAAACAACTTATCACAAAAAGAGATAGCAGCTCTAAAAACCCTGAGAAACGACAAAAACATAGTGTATCTGCGGAAGCAGTTATATTGGAAGGACAGAAAGAAGGGCATATTTACGATTTTCTGAACATGTACCAAAAGGTCTATGTCTAAAGGGAATAAATCCTTTAAAAAATGCCATAGCCAGACATCTTTTTGACACGGGTCATGAGGTGGACGTCACAAAATCGTTCAAAATTACCAATGGGCAAAAGAGCTAAATTCTCTTCAAGTTCGCTGAAGTCATCTACATCAAGCGCCTGAAACCTGAATTGTGCCTTCAGAAAGAAACAGTTATCAGTCTTTCTTTGCCAGCCTGGTAACTGGATATTTTCATCTCTCTTTCATCCGAATACGTAATGTTGAAAGTCTCCATTGTGTATGATGACTACTCCTCGGAATAGTGTTTAGAATTATATATATATATGTGGTGAGAGCTGTCTACTAGCCAAGTGGTGGACAGTAATTGAGGTCAATGTTTATGTATCAAATATTAGTCGTGTTGTGGCGAGAGATGGTTGCTGGCCAAATTGGTTGACAGTAATTGAGGTCAAAGGTCAAAGTGGACAGGCGGTTACAGTTAACATATAGAGGAACTGACACAGCCACCAAAGATGCAAGGTTAACTTTGTGTGAGAAACAACCAATCAACAGACTGTATTTTCTACTAACATTGACCTACAATAATGTACATAAAAATCTATAAATACGTGTTGATTTTTCGTAATAAACGATCTGTTGCCTGGCCCTTGTCTTCTGTTGTTACATTTGGTGTCGCTGCCTACCGACAAATGGAAAGCCTATGCCCTGCAGTTTTTGATGAAGACATATGGATCTTCGGGCAGGACTTTGAGGCTTATTCGCAGTTGAGTGGCGTTCAAGATCTGTCAGCGATAAGGCTGCTACTTGGGACGCTGCTGGGAGGTCGGGAGAAAGCAGCACATGGAAGTGTGAGACGAAATACCTACGAATGTGCGACAGGGTCAGGCAAACAGTTTCCAAAGTGGGAAGGACCATATATGGTCACGTTGAGATGGGGTTACGCAGACACAATCGCAATGGTAAACACCGTTAAACAAGTGGACATCCGCAAGCGCCGAGGTTCCAGACAGCAAGACAACAGAGCAAAGCCCCAAGAACCGAGAAGGCCGAGCCGACTTCAGTCCAAACTATTTGACGGGGGGACGAGTGTGGTGAGAGCTGTCTACTAGCCAAGTGGTGGACAGTAATTGAGGTCAATGTTTATGTATCAAATATTAGTCGTGTTGTGGCGAGAGATGGTTGCTGGCCAAATTGGTTGACAGTAATTGAGGTCAAAGGTCAAAGTGGACAGGCGGTTACAGTTAACATATAGAGGAACTGACACAGCCACCAAAGATGCAAGGTTAACTTTGTGTGAGAAACAACCAATCAACAGACTGTATTTTCTACTAACATTGACCTACAATAATGTACATAAAAATCTATAAATACGTGTTGATTTTTCGTAATAAACGATCTGTTGCCTGGCCCTTGTCTTCTGTTGTTACATATATATATGTGTTTAAAATGATTTCGCTGTGCAAGTATGTTAAAATTGTTTCTGTAGATATACTTAATAATGACTGTGACCTGTAAGCAGCTAGGTGATGAGAAGCCAACTAAATAAACAATGATGGTACCAATTTATTCTGCAAAAACTGTAGTTGTCGCTTTATTCAAAAACATAGTGATCACAAAATCGGACAAGGGTAATACAACTGTTATTAGTCATGCACAAATCATGCACTACATAAACAACGTATTAAAACAAGCCCATATGAAGAAATTAAAAAAAAACCTGTGGACCTGTGGGCGTTTTTGCTTTCCCTCCACCTAGGTTATGGTGGAGATATTGGGAGGACACATTCACTAGTGTGTTGAAATCTGAACATATAACTCAATTTCTCACACATATGAATTCAATAATCGACGGAATCCAATTCACTTCTGAGTTGGCCATGCTAGACTGTAGAATAAAACGGAAACAATGTGGTGGGGGTTAGATACTAGCATTTATAAGAAACCGACACACTCTAATAAATGCTTAGACTTTGATTCATCCCATCCAGAATCGGTAAAGGTAGACAGGTTTAGTTAAATGTCTTTATAATTGGGCCAAAAGCCTAACTAGTAGGACAGAAGATTTAAATAATGAAATCAAACATATAAAGGAAATATCACTACTAATGAATAACACACTACCCATCAGAATTTATTCAGAAATATATGAGGACTCATAGAAAAAATAAGATTAACAATGAGAATGACAAAATTAACAAAAATAATATCGAATTCAAAGCCTCTGTAGTACTCCCGCATAAAGAAGGAGCATCGCAGGCCGCAAGTAAAATTCTCAATGAGGCTGGAATTAGTCCAGGTGGCATTTAAACCAACCAAACAAACAGTTCTGTCAGAGATAAACTTTCTCGGCTTAAGGACCTAATAGATACAATTCAGCGAAAAATAATATAATTTATGAAATACCAAATGTAATGATGACTCTGAAGTTATATTGATATATGTGTAAAACTTGGGCACTGTGATAGTAAGTAATTCCATATTAGAATTTAATTGGTGGATGGTGACTAGCAGTGGAATCCAGCCAGGATGCGCATTTTGTCCCATTTGGGACTCGTCCTCTAGCTGGATGTACCTGCATTCCCCAGTGAGTCAGTGATGATATTCCCACCGAGGCTCGAACCCAGTGCCCATAGTTTCAAACGCCAAAGCGTTATCCACTAAACCACTTGGGCCACGGGATCCACCTGATACCGAGCACTTTGGTTCAATCAATCGACGGCAAAATCTAAAATTCAATTGAATAATTAATTAATATGACCCGTTGCTCAAGAGCTGTCTCTCATGGCCTAGTGGTCTAGTGGATAACGCTTTGGCGTTTGAAACTATGGGCACTGGGTTTGAGCCTCGGTGGGAACATCATCACTCACTGGGGAATGCATCTACATCCAGCTGGAGGACGAGTCCCATCTTGACTGGATTCCACTGCTAGTCACCATCCACCAATTAACTTCTAATTACATGCCCAGACATCGCCAAAGCATCCGCACAAGAAGCCGACATGTCAACCTGAGACCGAGTACTTCGGCCCAATCAATGGACGGGAAAATCTAAAATTCAATTAAATAATTCCATATTTGTTTGTTTATTGGATATATCACACAGTCAGAGAAACACTATTATTTACTGGATCAATTATCAATAATTGATATGATTATGTACAGTAATAAATTTTGTTCGAAACTGTTTCATCCAGTAAATAAAACTGTTTCACTGACTGTGTGATATATCTAATGAACAAACTAATATAGGACTTTGAGGTCAGTTACACATAGGTCAAACTACTAGATCGGGGTCAACTGGATTATTCGAATATGAAAATTTAGCTACACCTAGAATGATTGATTCTGCTAAGTAATTTAAACAACTTCGAAAAAGCAGAGCTCAGCCATTGCATTGCATTGCATTCACTTGCATATAATCACACAATAAGATGGGGGGGGGGACAATGTGAGAGTATTAAAAAGTAATTTAATTAGATTCACACGTGTAATTGGAATGATGCAACGCCGCCTATACTGGAGATATGGAAAGTGGCAACAAACAACAAGGAAAGTTGGAGAGACAGAAAGTGAGAAGAAGTATATATAAGACAAAATGTGAAAACGTGTGACTAAATTTGATATGCAATAATGAGTGGCAATAATCTATGCTCGAAACTTCGTCATCCAGTTGTTAATACTGCATCATCATCACTGTGTGATATTTAAAGTAAAAGTATCTAATGTGGAATTAGTTTCTACCACCAAAGTGCCCAAGTTCTACACTTACATCTTATTCAAATTGTTTAAATCTTGTAAAATATGACCTCCAGTAGTGTTGTTTACTCTCGCGAGTGTTTAAAACATTTACAATCTGCTGCTTTGAATGTTTCGATGTGAGAAGAAGCATTATCCCTTACGGATGGCAGCTTATCCCAGTGTACATGAGATGATCGTTCTTGTGTGGTGTATCTCTTGTTCACAGAATGTACTCGTGAACTTTTCATTAATTGGCATTCAACAAAATATCGTCGTGTATTTCTCGAAGGAGACAAAGAAGAGATATATGATAATTGTGGATTGGTTTGCTGTTCAGGTCAGACAGTAGTGTGTCACACGATCTACTGTCGTTAATTAATCTTTTATTTAAAGATCCTGGCCGAAGATAAAATATCATTATATTTCGACTGATTAAAAATGCTCATTAAAATTTTCAAAAGAATAGACACGGAACAAAGAGTACTCTTTTCGATAAATTTATCATCAGGTTCTACAATTATATATACATTATAATGAATGAGTGAATTAGTCTTATGAACGACATTAATGCTTAAATAACATCGAATCAATAATATTGATAGATTACAGCTCA